ACTCCAACCATACTCGTGAGAATTTATGAGTGTGGAGCCTAGGAATCTGCATTTTCAAAGGCATCAAATGATTCTCATGTGTTCTTAAGTTTAGAACCTTTGTTATACAAAACCTTGCTCATGAACATATGGGGAAAGGAGATGTTACTAAGAACACCCAATATTTTGGAACTTCCAGTATTGCTTCCATCATGGTGGTATAACACGAGCCAATCTATCAGACCCTGAAAGATAGAGATGATCATGGAAGCACTATAGAAAGTCCCAGGGCTTTGGTTTTCTCTGTAAATTGAGGATAATATGCCTATCTTTCAGGTTGGTTGAGGTTTTAATTAAACAATGCCATTAGACTGGTTAAATAAACTTTGCCACATCCATACAGCAGAAAAATACATAGTTCTATAAAAGAATAAGAAAGCAGCCTATGTACTCATATTGAAAGCTCTCTAAGATATATTATGTGAGAAAAACAAAGTGGGCAGCAATATATGTAGTACCAGGTAAGAGGATGAGAATATTTAATTGTGTTTATATGGAAGTGAATGAATAAATGAATATGTTAGTGGCATGGTGGGAATAGACAGGATGGGTAGGAATGGGAAGACCTGCATGGGAAAATTAATTTTTTTTTTTTTTTGAGACGGAGTTTCACTCTTGTTACCCAGGCTGGAGTGCAATAGTGCGATCTCGGCTCAGCGCAACCTCCGCCTCCTGGGTTCAGGCAATTCTCCTGCCTCAACCTCTTGAGTAGCTGGGATTACAGGCACGCACCACCATGCCCAGCTAATGTTTTGTATTTTTTAGTAGAGACTGGGTTTCACCATGTTGACCAGGATGGTCTTGATCTCTTGACCTCGTGATCCACCCGCCTCAGCCTCCCAAAGTGCTGGGATTACAGGCTTGAGCCACCACACCCGGCCAAATTAATTTTTTTTGAGATGGAGACTCACTCTGTTGCCCAGGCTGGAGTGCAGTGGCACAATCTCAGCTCACTGTAATCTGCCTCCTGGTTCAAGCGATTCTCCGGCTTCAGCCTCCCAAGTAGCTGAGATTACAGGCAAGCACCACAACACCTAGCTAATTTTGTATTTTTAGTAGAGATGGGTTTCACCATGTTACTCAGGCTGGTCTCAAACTCCTGACCTCAGGTGATCCACCTGCCTTGGCCTCCCAAAGTGCTGGGATTATAGGTATGAGTCAGAGTGCCTAGTGAAAATTAAATTTTTAGTGCCTTGCCCCAACACCAATCTATTCTGAGCAAGAAAAAGTGGGTTTAAAGCCACCAGTCTAGTATTTTAATATGCCAAGTTATCATTCTTCTGCTTAGTTTTGATTTCAATGAGCAGTGACCATGAAATTGTATTTCTCTAGAACAGTTGCCAAAAGTCTCATCACCCAAATCAGCATATAAATCAAAGGGGAAATATCTGGTCAAAGTGTCATTAACAAAATGTATCAGTAATTTGTTTCTAAAATGGGAGGAGGAACTATCCTTGATCAGCAGAAAACAATATCGGGGAAGTCTGTGACCCACTGGTGACCTTTTTCATGTGGCAGGGTTTCTGCATCGATTGTCATGTACTTTGTCTACTCCATCAGGTCATGAATGATGCATGCTGCTACAAGAAATTCAACTGTATAGCTGATTGAAACAGAGAGAACTGTTCAAGAGCAGAGAAACATGTCTTTCCTTTTAGCTTTGCACCAGCTTGTGGAACAAATCCATTGCAATTTCTGTAAGCTTTGTTCTCTAAATTCTCTTGGGCCAGATTTCTTATCAGATGTATTTTCCTTTAAAAAAAATCAAAACAACACAAAATCATAGCAAGATATTTTAGAAGAACAACATTTGCAGAACTCTGAGTTGCTGAATATTCACTGTCAACTGATACCCATGCAAATAACAACATATTCACTTTTTTAAAAAAATGATGGGGTTTAGAGAGGGTGACAGGATAAAAAGAGATATTTAATTTCTGAAATTATCTTTTTAGTGTAGTGATTATGTTTTTATAATATAAACATAAATCTTTGTCTCTACAGCTGATATGAATAGAAATCTAAGTTTGCTCATCAGATCTGCAGCACTCTCTATCCTGGAGTGGGGCTGGAGATTTTTCCAACCCAACTGATGGGCCTAAAATATACAGACTATTATACAGCATATGCCAAAACCATAACTGTTGCTTTAAAAGATTTCTTATCAGCTCTAAGGTTGTTACAACCCTGTAATAGTGAGTCTCTAGAGAAAAAATGGAATGCATCCAATGGGACCTCATTGTAGAAGGCATGGGAGCCCAGTGACCTTCAATATAGGAGACAACAAGAAGCCTTACAGGGTCTTCAGTTGTCAATCTTCAAGAGTGATGAATCAAAGAGCACTGATTGCTCCCCAGTATGTATGTATGAGTTAGTTTGAGCCAATGGGATGTGAGTGGCAGTCACATGGACATTTCTGGGCCATCTCCTTGCCTTGGACTCCCTGTTTCTCCCTTTCTTGGGAAAGAGGTCACCTTAGAAGCCATGTTTTGAGGATGGCAGAGCCTCCTGCAAGCTCTGGACTGTTCCTCAAGAGAGAAATAAACTGTTCTTTTATTTAAGCCACTGTATTTTGGAGTCTTTTGATTACAAAAGTACAGCCTGCACCTTAACTAATAAAAATGGCTTCATATAAGATAGCATTTAGGAAATGAGCTTAGCTGTCAGTAATCAAGAATGTCTGAGGCCACAAAGAGTAAAGGAAGAGATATTGTTAGAAGGCTATCAGCATGAGACTGCAATCTTGACAATGAAATGAGTAATACTCAACTGTCCAGAAAAACATCTCGTAAGAAATTTACAACAGGGAATTGTAATCCACAACCTATATCCTTTGCTAAAGGTTCCTAATTATGCAAGATCAAATTAATGCATTCTAGCAATCTTTGTCCACAGACTTGATGGTAGAGAGATTAAAAATACAGAACAGAAAGAGAATTGACTTTAGTGCCCACAAGAGCTGAGTTTGAATCCAGCTCTGCCACTTAGTAAATATAGGGTGCTAGGAGATTGATTTAACCCTCCTGAACCTGCAATGTAAGTGGAGATACTAATACCTCCTGTGACAGGTGGATGCAGATGGAGACTCTAGAACAAGATCTGGTTCACATAGAAGGAATCGATAAATTTCAGGTCTACCTCTCTCTCCTTTACTCCTTCAAGGAGACATCATAGAAGTCCTCTTAGTGCCAGGAAAGTATGAAAAAAATGGGTAAGAGGAGTAAGTAGGAAATGGGATTCAGATATTTTTGGTACTGGATCTCCTGATTAGGTATTGGTGATAGAACTCATAGGCCCAGAGCCCTAAGAGTATTTTCAGAGAGGAGCTAAGTTGAGACTAAAGTCATAGAACATATTTCCATTTGGTTTCTTTATATAGGGAAGCCCAAACATTTTAGATCTAGTTTCCAGCAAATTATGAGACACCTTCATTAACGGCAAATTCTACATTTTTGAGATTTCTCTACTTGTCATTATAGTTGGCCGGTATCACGGTCACAGTTTACCTTTAGGATGGTCATCAGTTAATTTTTTTAAGTTAAGACAGTTACACCTATCATTATTTCTACAAAGCATTTTGTCTTAGATTTACCTATTTATATTTCCCTGTGAGCATGTCTGCCTATCCATCTCTTTCACAGTTAACACTTATTAAGCACTTCCATGTGCTAGATCCCCCATTTAAATCACTTAATAAATACAGTATTAACTCACTTAATCCTCACAATAACCCAGGATGCAGGTACCATTACTGCCCCATTCAACAGACAAGAAAATGTATGATAGATGGATTCAGTTGTTGGTCCAAAATCACACAACTCTGGTTGCAGAATCAAGAGCTGGACCCAAGCTGTCTGACTCCAGACCTTGAGCAGTTATAGTATCTAAAACGATACACAATATTGTGCATGGAAACAAAAAAAATACTAAAACTTTTAACAGAAGACTATAAAAGGGGAAGTCAAGTCATAGAGATGAGAATGAAGGGGAAGAGGAGAGGTGAGAGTTGGAGAAACAGACTTAATGTAAGATTCTAAATTTGAGCCAAAATCTTACTTTCAAACTTCTTGGCTATAAAGGCCAAAAGGAAAACAAGATCCTTCTTAGCCTTTTATTTAATTTCCAAGTTCTGAGCTTGAGAAAGTGTAGAGGTCTCATCAGATTAGCTCCTGACACTATCTAATTGCTTTAATTTTGCTGGCCAGAGATGTAGCTTCAACTACTGCTGATGCTCCAAAATGCCCATTGATATTTTCTAGAACTTGAAAAGCAAGATGTAATATCCTTCCCTGCTCTATTCCACAGATCATCAATAAAAACTAAAGCAATTTGTTTAGGAAATGTTATTTCTTGAATTGCATACTATTAAAGCACAGAGCTTTGCCTTTCGAACTGGCAGCTTACATATGGCAGGAACTCCATGACGCACAAATTCAATACTATTTAATTTTTTTTTGTATTTTAATTACATATGTGTAATTAAAAGAGATAAAAAATTTTAAAAAGTCCGTTCCTTCTAGGCTTAAACGTGTATTTAAAATTTCATAGTTAACAAATACTTGTGATGCTTTTCCCATATTTCCAAATAAGATAATGTTGAACAGACCTTATAATGAGTTTTACATTTGATCTGTTTTTGGTAAATATAGGTGTGCAAAACTGAGTTATATATTCTTCTTTTCAAAAATTCTCCCTTTAATGAACACTTGTTTTTGACACTGGTCAAGACGTTTGGCATACTAAGGGAGCAGTGTCCAGGAAGATACCTGAGAAGACAAGCGTGCCCTCCCCTTATTACCTCCCTTTTTTTCTTTGAGGTTTTAAGATCAAGATATAAGTTATTTTAAGGTCTCAAAATAATCCTTTCACAAAAATAAGAGAGTTTTATGCTGTAAAAACATTAGTTATTTGTCAAAGGTTATGTTCTTTGGTCTTCTTCCATCACCAGCCGTCAGCATCTCCTAAAGATCGGTTTTTTCTTCATAATGACACCTGCATGTGGCTCGCTGGCTGTCCAGATATGGTTTACCACCTAAATGTCTAACACTGTCAAACAAGAGCTCCACTGTTGTTTCACAGGCCTGAACATGCCGAGTTAGTCCTAGTGTTTTCTGTACGTCTCGGCAGATCTTGGAGAGGCAGTACTGGAACTCCTCGTCACAGTCATTCTTGCTTTTGCCACAGGTCTCATAGCACCTGTCATGTTGGTTGCAGCATTTTGTCAGGGAAGGGATACCAATGTTAAGATGAACACCAAACAGTGGAGAGCCACATCCATTCGGTGGGGAGGGTTTATAACCATAACGTGGGAAAGGCTTAGATCCGTCACTGCATTTATACTGGCAGAGACCGTCCTCGCCTCCCAGGAGGTCCAAGGCGGCGTTCAGGTACGTGTCTATCTTGTGAACGCCGTTCCGGATGGTCTTCAAGGTGGCCCTCCAGTCGGTGGTCTGGGCCTGCTCCTGGCACCTGACAACAGCGGCCGCGAGGAGCAGCAGGAGGATGAGCGCGGGGCGCCGGAGCAGGGCCATCCGCGCAGCGCGGGGCTCTACGGGTCCCCGAGCCCGGCGGCAGGCGCGTCCCCACGGAGCCCCCGGGACGCGCTAGGCAGCGGCGCGGGCCCGGGGCTTGGCAACCGCCGGCTCCATATCCACGTCTCCTTCCCCGCTGGCCCGCAGGGCCTCGCTGGCTTTACGGGAACCGCCTCTGGGAGGCAGCGCCGTCCCAGAGAGCAATATTATTTAATTTTTAAAAAAACAAAAAAATTGCTAAGATAATGCCAAAAGAAGAATGCTGAATTTTACAGTGGTACAAAGGCATGTATGATCATCTTACTTTTATTTCCCTAGGTAGCTATAAAAAAGCTGAAAAAGCACGAATCTAAGGAAAAGGATATACTTCTATCATACAAAATTATTCTAATTTCAACATTCATTGCTGGACCATTTTTCTTGGTATAAAGAATACATCTTTTGATTCTGTTAAATTAGGGCTTTTAGGTAACAACAAATAACTTCCAGAGTTACAGCATGCTTTTTTCTCGATCACTAAAAGAGGCCAGTGGAACTATGATTATTGTTAACAATATAATTCACCAGCCTGCAATTAATTCTACCTTAGTAACTACCAGAACAGGTAAGGTGTATATGGTTAGCTGTTATTTAAATTATTGTCTAGATATTGTACTGTTTTCCTGTGCATAAGGCAAACAGTGTGTGCAGCTATTTCTCATAGTCTGATTGATGTCTGAATAAACCAGTTACTAATGGGAGAATTTCTTGTTAAAAATATTTGCTTATTCCTGTTCATCTAATATTTATTTTATCTTTTAAAGGAGAAAAGAAAATGAATTGGGGTCATTTCACTTTCTGACTTTGAGGAATTGAGAGTTTTGGTGTTCTTGGGCCCTACTGTGTCCTTGGGAACACGGGCAGCAGACTTCAGCATCAGATTCCCTGTGTCCACAACCTACTCTCTCTAGTGAGGTATTAGGTTGGTGCAAAAGTAATGGTGGGTTTTGCCATACTTTTAATGGCAAAAGTACTTAGAAAAGTACCTGAAGCAGGAGGGTGTTAAGCCTCCTGCTTCAGGTACTTTTCTACCTAAAATAATGATGACAGAATTTTCTTCATTACAGGGTGGTTGTAAGCATTAAAAGAGATGACACCTGTAAAATACTTAGAAGAGTGCATAGTCATAGAGGAAACATTACATAGTACATTCTCAGTAATTATCCTTGTTGTACTTATTACTAAAAATATAAAGACTGGCAACTCTGGATGCAAAGAGAATTCATCGGTAGGTCACTGTGTTCATTTAAGGATAACTGTTCCCAAGAAAGGCTAACTTGAAATAACCCATTTTAAGGAGAAAAAAACACTTTATTATAAAAAGAGGAGGCAAAAAGTTTGAATGAGACTTTAACCAGAAATAGAGACATTCAAATTATGGAAATAACTTATGTTATATGACAGAAAATTAAATTATATCTATGTGCTGACTTATAGAATTCACCTATTATTTCTAAGAATAATGACTCTCCTGACTTCTTTTGTTTTCTGATTTGTTTTTGTTTTTTGTTTCTGGTTGGCACATGATACTTTACAGTGCCATCATTAAGACAGCCATTTTTGCAAAAATCTCTCTCTTTGGAAAAAGTCTTCTCTCAACATTTGTTTTGATATTCAAATAATTCCATTTTGGAGAATCTATTCTTAGATTTCTTTTCTCCTTCAATTCTTTACTCAGCTAACTCAAACAGATCATCATTTGTTTGTGGCTTTGCTCAATATTTGAGCCTTTGACCAACAACCCTACCACCAGTGAAATTTCACAAATCGAAGGATTTTCAGTCTAACTCCGAAATTCGTTTGCATTGTATTTTGTTCTGTGTTTAAGTAAACAAGATGTCAGGTGGAAAGAGTTGAGTAGGGGCTACTGTTAGAAGTGGTCAGTTCATGTTTGAACATTTGTAAGTATCTTTGCTTCTCTGTGCAAACTTGTTTCCATGTGGATTTTGATAATAAATACTCAGAAAACAACTATACCCTCTCCTATACTATTTGGTAGACTTAATTTAAATATACATCTGTTGTATCTTTAAAAACCTTTAAATATTTGCACATTATAAGTCAAGCTTTGATTCAAAAAGCCATCTAATGAGTGGCTTACGAGTCATAAGTCAATCATAAATAATAGATACTTGGGCCATTTACCTAAAAAATATTTGAACAAATGTAAATATTAAAGCTAAATTTTTTTTCCAATTTAGAGAAAACTAACTCTATTTGCATAAGTTTTATAATAGTATCTTGATGAACAGAAATACTGTATGCTATTCTTAACTGTGATGTTCATGTCAATGGAGTGCATTAAGAGTACGTATTAGCTAGAAACATGGTAAGTTGTTCCTCTACATGCAACACAAATGGGACAGAGATGGAAATCACTGGTCATAGCAAAAGGAACAAAACTTTAGCCCAATGCTTGATTTATTTGTTTTTTTCCTATGGTTTAATTGAGATACAATTTAGATACAGTTAAGAACCAAGTATATGTTTATGTAAAATAAATTACTGAAAATGAAGACTGATTAGAATGTGGGGGAAACAAAAAGATGTAATTGGGGGTGTGCTGGAGTCTGCTCACATAGGCTCAGGAGAGCTAATTGTTCAGCTTCCGGATATTTTGTAAGCTGGCTGTTTGTTAAACTGTTGTCAGTTCAGAATCAGCCACAGGAGAGTATTTTCAACATGAAACTGGAAAAACATTATGAATCAGGGATTTTGTATTTTCCAGAGCTGGCTGTTAGACATTCACTGGCATATCACTGAATTTTATATAAAAAAAAAAAAAAAAAAAAAAAAAAAAACCATGAACTAATGTGCCACGGAGTGAAACTTCCACCCCTGGAAAGAGAAAAGCTTTCCTCTCTTGGATTCTGGGATTGGGTGGAGAGTTCACAGCAGCCATCAGCTGGGAAGCGCTACCCACATGGGAAAATGTCTCTGCCAGACACTGAAGATCGGTGTTCTGCTGCTCTTAGCATTCCCCACTTAGCATGATGAACAACACCCTTCCTCTCCATCTCAAAAGCGTTTGACAAGATTGTACCTTTCCCTGCACCAGAAATCAGGGGAGAAAGGGAGCTGAGTTAGGAGAGGAGAAAAGCTGGGGAAGGCTATTGTTCTTTTCTCAACCTCATGCAAATCTAGATAGGGTTCTCAATATCACAGCTCTTGAACTTTAAAAACACAGCAATGCTTGTGGCCCATCCTGGAAATCTGAATTCTATCTGTGGCTGGATCCCAAGCATTACATACAGTGTGATTAAGAATCACTCACCAGGACCATGGAATAGAGCAAAAACTAGGCTACAAACTCAAAGGCCCCCTGTCTTGTTTACCATCCTTTATCAAAGAACAGTTTCCAGTGCATTCACTTTATCAAAAACAGGAGAATCAATTTCCCTGAGATTCAAACACAAATTTTCTACACTACAAACACTTGGCCTAAACATAGGTTTCTTACACCATTAACAGGTTATAGTCTTTCTTCCCTTTCAGCTGCAGGCTGTGGAGCCCTCTCCCATGGAGGTTCTCAATCCTGGCTATGCATCAAGATCACCCAGATAAATTCATACACTTAAACAGGAAAATACAGATTCGTGGGCTCTGACCATAACTTCATGAATCAAAATCCTGTATTAGTGCCCAGGAATCTACATTTCAAAGTTTGCAAATGACTCGGAAGTATTTCCAGGTTTAGAAATCACTGGTTTAAAACACACACTATGAAAGCCTATCCTCCCTCCAGACATTAGTGAAGGGGTTAGGGACAAATGTCATTACCTGTTATTCAGTTTGCAAAACTGTCTTTCTCTAAGCTTCATCCCTTGACTCATCATCACACACTCCTCAATCCCATTTCAGGTCACCTCTTTCTCACAAAGATATACATATCCTATGTGAACTCATTTTTCTTTCCACTCTTTCTTCCAACACTTTTTTTTTCCACCTTAGGAAAACCTCTCCCTCTGATCCACTTTCAGGAATCACAAAGGAAAGGCATATAAAAGACACAAAAGTAGAAATTAGGATAGATTGGCTGAATTCTAAGTCCTCTTCAGAAAAACAACCAATGCCCTTAGAATTGCCACAGACCCTTTTCATCTTCCTCTAAGTAAACCTGGTAGTGTCCGAGTACAGGTTTTGATGGCAAGCTACTTACTGAAATGTAAATGTATTGTTTCAGCTTTTGCTTAGTTACCTATTTTTGCCCCAAATGGTTGTCTTACCACAAGCCCACAGTTTTTATTATAGGTAAACATGTTTTCATGTGATGTTCTAGGAATCAAAACAATGTATTTCCGTGTTTCTGTGAGAAGAAGTACTCTGATCTCCAAATGCATTTAACCAAGTTTTGGAATTCAACCCACAGTTAAACAGGAAACAGTGGGCATATCACTTTGGTCTGAATTGTACATAAATGCTATAGGTTAACGCTGCAAGATGTTTGAAGCTTGAGGTACCACAAAGTATTATAAACATGAGTTCTGCTTTACCAACATCATACCTAAAAGCTCTTCACCTGTGCTCCTGTAACACCTGTTTTTACCCACACTCTGTCTGCACTAGTGGACTGTGGAAACCTTGAAGACAGAGAGACAGGCATGCAGCCATACTCAACCATGTACACCTACCTCAGCACACAACAGGCATTATAGGCACTCCATATGTGTTTGATAAACTGAACTACTTATTGTTTTTAGATTCTAAGTAAAGTGGTTTCCTTTATACTTTCAATATGTTATATCAATTCAACTCTTAATCACTTGTTTTGTTTTTGTCTCTTTTTTTTTTTCTACCTCAGCACAGTTTTAAAATGCTAGCCAACCACGCAAGCTTCCTGAAGTACAGCTAGCTGGAATATACCGATCAAAAATTTTAAATGTAGACATCTTTTGAGCTGGCAACTCCATCTCTTGAAAATCACCTTACACATGTATGTGTGCTCATGGGCAAAAATATACTCAGGAGGAATTTTTGTATTGGGGAATTTTTAAAACAATATTGTTTGCAAAATAGTACGGATAAATTGCAAACATCTAGAAAATATCCTCTTTAGATTATTTGTTACATAAATTAAGAAACATCTTTGAAATGAAAATATACAGAGATGCTAAAAAATGAGACAGTGACAGATCTCTTTGTGCTGATAT